ATGCTACTTTCATTCCACAAATTCTTCCTGAGGAGCTATCGTGGGTCAGACCTTCTCCTGCTGGGGTCAGAGAGGATCAGAGCAGAATTCCACCCAGCTCTGTTGGGACGGAAGTGGTAGAGGGTGTTTTTAATCATTGAAGTGGTAGACGGTGAAGGAAAGGGAACCAGGAGAGACTGGCCTGGGAGGGCGACAGTGATGTTAGTTCTGAGGACCCCAGGGGTCACTGAGCTGGAATATCAGGCAGCCGTATTGTGTTTCTGGAGAGATGACGTTGGGAGTGTGTGTGGAAGCAGCGGGGTGAGCATGGAACTAGAGCCAGAGGAGCGATGTGTGCACTCAGTACACTTTTCCTGAGCAACTACTATGTGCCATGTGCTGGGACACAGAGGAGAAACAGACACAGTGCTTAATTCTTCTGGGGTTCTCAGTCACCTGGGAGGACAATAACACAAAGGTGCCAGGCACCCTCTGCTGACTCATCTTGCTGGATTATCACAACTATTAACTGGAGCTGGCTCTAGGAATATTCTAGTTTACAACAAGAAAACTGAGACCAGATGAAGCCAAACTGCTTGCTCAGGGGTCAGGGGGCCAGAGGTGAGACAGAGGCTTGAACCCAGGTCGGTGTGCCTGGAAGCGTGGGGTCCTGACCTGGTGTGGCACCTTGTCTTACACTCCTTTTATTAAATGTCACTTGTTGACTCCAAACTAGTGCCAAACACCACTCAGCCCACACCACTCAGCCCACACCTTCCGGCCCTCACCTCCCAGACACCTGCATGGAAATAAGAGTGAAATCCCTGCCACCGATGGGCTCGCCCGGGCGGGTGGAGGAGAGCAAGCAGCCCCAGAGGGCAGCAGGTTGGGGATGGGTGAGCCCGGGGAGGGCAGCTGGCACCATAGGATTTGTAAAGACCAGAAGGAAGGCGGCGCAGAGGGAGGAGCTGGACCCGGAGGTGGAGGGGCAACGCCAGGCTTGGGGGTGCCTGCGAGACCATGTGGCCGAATCCAAGACGCAGAGGGTGGGGAGTGGAGGAGAACGGGCGGAGGCTTCCCTGGGCAGAGCTGTGGCCTTTAGAGGAAAAGGAAAGCTAGCAAGGGGTCATTCAGGGCAAGGGAATTTGGGGTTTTCTTTTTTTGTCCCAGTTTTTTCTGGTTTAGGATGACGAGATGAGATCCTTAAAGGTGGAGAAGGAGAAATGAAAATGCAGAACAGATCTCTCCCATTTTCCAGTTTGAGTCATACACCCATTTATGATCCCATGTATCCGTGTGTTTCTGATTAATTTGGTAAGTTCACACTTGGTCATTCTCGTTAGCACGATTAATTTATTTATCGTTTGGCCCTTACGGCGGTGCCGGGCAGACGGTAGTTGTTTTTTCTTGTGTGAACGAGGTGTGGATGGTCCCACCTCAGCACTTCAACGCACAATGGAGCAGCTCACAGCGAACTCTGATTCACAGAATGGAGACACTCAGGTTTAGGCCCAGCCCGGAAGCTGCTGTTCTCTTCATCACAGAGTCACTGCGAGCAGGGCCCAGCCTGCTCAGCACAGTCACACGGCTTCTCAGGGCTGAGCTGGGAAGCAGCTGGCCTCTCTACCTAGAAGCCTTGTGCTTTCCAAAGGGACAAGATGCAGGAACTCAGTAGACTCAGGTGCCCAGAGGAGGTGACATTCTGTGGCATCTCCAGAGCGGCGTATTTGCAGGCTCCAAAGAACGCTGGGGGTTGGCAGGTTGGGAATAACAGGAGTAGGACAGGGGTTGGGGCATGTGCATGTGGCTTCCAGGGTTGTCCCCAGGTTGAGACAGAGTGAGACGGGAGCAGGAGCCACCGGCCGGGCAAACGAGACAAAGGCTGACTGTGGTGGGAGGAAGCGAGATGCATCTGGGAGGGGACCCCAGAGCTCCAGTCCTGGGACCACGAGTGGCCCAAGCCAAATCCTCCTCAATGGGTCTCTTAAATCCAACAGGCTGGTGACGTGCTTCAGGAAATAACTGCTTCTGAATACAGAGAGGGAAAAAAATCCCCAGGGGTCTTGAGAAGAGAAATAGGGCTTCTTATGTGAGTTACCGGGAATCTTGGAGCTGGCCCAGGCAGGAGTGTGGAGGCGGGCAGACGGCCCTTAAAAGCAGGCGGCGGGCTGTCGCCTCTTCTCCAGGCCTGACAGCGAGGGGCTCACTGGTGAGAATCTCCATCTTGGGGCTGCCTTTTCCTGATGGGGGTGTGGGGAGCAGGACTCAGAGGGGGGCTGTGTGAGGAGAGCCTGGCCCCTGGTGAGGGAGCAGGGCCCAAGGAGCGGCCGGCCGCTCTGCCTTCCCTACGGCTCGGGGCTCATCTGTACAAGGGGCCTGCGGCTTGTCCTCTCAGCTGGGAGATGTGAACAGGGGCTCCTGGGACACGGGGCTTCTGCATCTGGGCTTGGAGGGCCTGTCCCTCCAACAACCTGACCACTTCCCAGCCTCCAGTGCCTGCCCTCAGGCCTCCATCCACCTCTCATTACTGCAGCTGCGGCTCCACTCTGAAATTATCTGGTGGCTGTGCCCCGCTCTCTGTGGTCTTTGGATAAAAATAGGCAATGCCACATCCTCCCCCAAGGGCCTGCCTTAGGCTCCAGCAATGGTCCTGGCTCCAGGGCAGCTGTTTGGAGGCTGCTCTGAGCCTCTGCAAATGAACCTTGTCTGGCTCACATTTGCAGGGGCGCCTGCTGCCCCTCACCCCGGGAGCCTGCAGCCCGCAGAGCTCTAACCCTGCGTGGGTGTTGGTTTCATTCAGGTGTGGAAGGCAATGCCATGCAAGAGTGTGTTCTGTACAGTGACCAGGAGGAGGGGGCCTGCAGGGTCACGCAGGGCCACGTGGAGCAGTGCCAGCATGGGCCCAGATGCACAATTTCACCACGGTTCAGGCTTGTCTTGTTTGAATCATTTCTGCGGCTTCCCCAGCTGTCCAAAACCTGGCCTGGGGGGACATGGGGACATGTGAGCCTTAGGTAAGATAGGTGCTGGGTCCAGGCTTTGGGTTGGTGGGTTTGCATGTGAAAGGCATCCCCGCAGGGGTGGAGGTTGAGGCCTCTAGGAATTAGCTACCCCAGGAGGGACAGTCCCACCTGGTCAGCAGGGCTCCCAAGATGTCAAAGCATCCTAAAAGAAAATACAATGCATGTTTAACACACAGGGCTTGCTCAGAGGCAGGGGAGTGGCCAGTCAAAGGAGGAGATGCTAAGTTTGGGCGATTCATTTCACCTGCCTGAGCGTCAATTTCCAGAATCTATAAAACCAACCACTGTTATTCACTCATTAAACTATAACTGTTTAAGGGGACAGATGGCCGGTTTAACAATGTCTACCTGCCAAGGCCACTGGTGGGTTCGAGGAGACAGTGGACGGTGCCTGCATGTCAGAGGCATCCAGAGGGTCAGTTACCACTGGACCCCTTCCTCGGTTCCAAGAGCAGCAGAGAAGATTGATGTGAAAGGGAGGGTCTAGGGCCGTTTTCCTTGGCTGTTTGGAGCCTCGGAGTGGAGGCTGAGGATGGACAGAATGTTGAGGAATGTTCTTGGAGCTCAGAGGAGCTGCTGGACAAATGCCAGCCTGGTAGCCAGGAGCCACCGGGACCTGGAGCTGAGTGTTTGGAGGCTGGGCCCGGGGAGGTGGCAGGGGCTCAGCCAGAACCCTGGCTCAAGGGACCCTTCAACTCAGGGACTTGGAGACAACATGGCAAGTAGGGGGAGTCCTGACCACAGGCCAGGCAAGCAGCTGTGGGTGAACAGGGACTTTGGATCCTGGGAGGGGCGAGAAGCAGGCAGCCGCGGTAGGAGATCTCTGTGAGAGGCCCAAGCAGAGGCAGGCAGTGGCCGGAGAGGGGGAATTTCCTCCGCCTTTTGGCTGTGACTGCTTTTGAACTCCAGGCCAATGGCGGGTGTTTTTGCCAAAGATGGTTCTAAGGAAATCTTAGGAAGCACTGGGATGTTGGAGCGTTTGCCCCCTGGAAGGGAGCCCTGCAGCTCAGGGAAGGGCACCGGACCTGGGCTCGCTTCTCGCCCCTGCTCCGTGCTGGCTGCATGATCTCTGGCCAATTCCTAGAGCTTTCTGAGCCTCGGTTTCCCACTGGCACATAGGGACAATGAAACCTTCAGAGCTGTCACAAGCACCAAGTCCTCTTATTCAGAAGGTAGACAGAGTGCCTGGGCCCAAGGGAAAGTTTTATGTTTAAATTCCTTTAAAATCAGGAGAATAATTAAGAAAATAATAATGAACCCAACCTAGTTTATGTTTGTCCATGAGTGCAGCTGGCAGATACAATCCCGTGTGGTTGGTTTGTTTATCTGGAGGAAGGGGCTTGCCTCCACAAAACCACCAGGGGGCCTGGAAAGCCCCTGCGCCTCCTGGGTGCTGGGCTCCATTCCTGAGCACGCATCCTGGGCTGGGGCACTCTTTCCAGGGCTGAGCTAGAAGGATCAGTTGTCACCTTCTGCCCTCAGAGAACCAGCAGGAAAGAGCCTTGATAACAGGGGACAGAAGCCTGGGGAGATGCCAGGGAACAAGATGTGGACACCAGCTCCCCTGTGCCCTCGGCGCCCACCACTCTGTGTCCAGGGTTCTGTCCTCCTCCTCCATGGCTCTCTAGGTTAAGCTAGTCCCTGCCTTTCAACTCATGCCACCAAACCTCCACTTGAGTCCTACCCATTTCTCTGGGTACTGTTGGACATCTCTGCCATGTGGGCAAGTGTGTCCAGTGACTCGTGATGGGAGAGTTCTCTGCCACCTCTGATGGGGACAATGTCCCCACCAATCCTTCCATTAATAGCTCCTGTCTCCAGGACCAACTCCTAGAGGCTTGTCTTGTCCTTTCTGGCTGGAGTGGTCTGCTTATCTGTTTATTGCCCACCCCAAGGTGGGAGCAGGGGAATGGGTACACCTGGTGGGAGCCGAGAGGGGTCTGCTGGGCCCCAGGGCATGGCCTGCTGCACATGTCGTGGGCTGTGTTTCTTTTCCAGAACCTCAGAGATGAAGGGGCTCCTCACACTGGCTTGGTTCCTGGCTTATGGTAAGTGCTGGCCCCATGTCCTCTGAGTGACCCCCTTGGAGTGAAAGGCCAGTCTTGAGCTCCTAGACCCTGGCATTTGCATCCAGCTCTGCTTTTACTGCGCTGATGTGGATGCAGCGAGCGCCTTCACCTCCCTGGGCCTCCACTTCCTTGTCTAATGGAGAACGATGGTGCGGACAGCCGGGCTGCTACAGAATTCAGAGGTTGAACGTGTGAGGTTGTGAGCATGAAGATGGGCAGCTTGCAAATATGGGAGGAGAAGTTGTTTTTTCCTAGGATGCAAAATAAAATGAGGCCAAAACAAAGAGACCAAAGTGGAACCCAAGACCCTTATTTAAATAGTCCAGCCCATGATTCCCGGGCCATTCTCTGCTCGACCTGTCCAGGTCCTCTGCAGACCCTGCTCTTGGCGCCCCCTCAACTTGGAGGTGATCACATACCTGGCTTTAAGCTTGGCCACAACCCTGTGACCCTGCACACAGCCCTGACAGGCAGTCCTGCTCTTCGATGTCTTTCCCAATCTCTGGGGACCCCAGGAGGAACCACACTTGGCGCAGGGAGGGGAGAGAGCCTCCTGGACCCGCCAGGATGCTTTCCTTCTGGCCTCAGGGGAAACCCTAGGTTCCCAATTGGTGAGATGAAGGAGCTGGCTTCAGTGATTTCCAAGGGTCCCACACTCTCTTGCGTTTTAAAAGGTGTTAGAGAAAGGGGATGAGGAAGAAGGGACATCAAAAGAGGGACAGGAAGCTCATGTCTGCTTGCTTTGTGCAGATACCGTGTGAATTATACCCAATATGTCTCAGTCCCTTATGATGCGTCTGCCACTGTGCTCAGAATTTATACTGTATCTTGCCAACTCCAAGAGGTAGGTGCTAATTTTAGGCCCCCATTTTCCAGATGAGGAAACTAAAACATGAAGAGATGAAGAGGCCTTTTCAATCCTATATTCAAATTAGTGTCTGGGCCAGAATTTGAACCCAAGTCTGCTTATTTTCTAAGCCCGACTCTTCTCCACTTCTCCATGCTGCCTGCCCTTCCCCACCTCGCACCCTCCAGCTAATTAGGAGAATAAAAGGGGGTGGGAGAAAGAGCAAGAGATGCTGGGAACAGGCCACAGCAGTGTCACCTGGGGACATGGGCTGTCTTTCAGGTGTGCCTGCCGTGCCAGGGGGCTTGCTGGACCTGAAATCCATGATCGAGAAGGTGACTGGCAAGAATGCCCTGAAGAACTACGGCTTCTACGGCTGTTACTGTGGCTGGGGCGGCCGAGGAACTCCCAAGGATGGCACTGACTGGTGAGCTGATTGTCACTAGTGCCACTGAGGCTCTGGGCTCTGCACCCACATCAGCGAATTCAATTCCATGTCTGGCAAGGGCCAGGGCCTCAGTTCCTCCCACTGAGGCCTCTCCCAGCATGCTTGGGCTTCCTCACAGCATGGTGGCTCTTGAGTTCTAAGAAAGAATGATCCCAAACTGCAAAGCAAAAACACAAAAAGGATGGCATATTTACCAACAACCTCAGAAATTACACAATGTCACTTACGCTGTCCCTTTGGATGAGGCTGCCACAAAGCTTTTAAGAAGTACAAGTTACAATTAGGCATGAAGAATAAATTCTGATATTCCAAGTGACACAGCAGGTTGACCATGGTTAGTAACATAGTAGACATTTCAAAATAGCTGGAAGTGGGGGTTTCTCATGGCCTTACCACACAGGAATGCTGGCTGTCTGAGGAGAGGGATATGTTACTTACCCTGATTTGATCATTGCATATTATATACATGTATCAAATTACCACATTGTGGGTGCAGTTTTTATGTGCCAATCAAAGAGAAAGAAGAAAGCTGGCCACAGTGGTGGATGCCTATAATCCCAGTGACTGGGGAGGCTGAGCAGGAGGATCGCAAGTAGGAGACCAGCCTTAGCAGCTTAGCAAGACCCTGTCTCAAAATAAAAAATAAGAAGGGCTGGAAAGAGGGGAACTAGGGTCCACCTCTTAATTGGGAAGTGTCGATCCTAGAAGAATGTGTGAGAAGGAGAAACTCAACTTATGGAGTTAACAATCCTAATACCCATGAATGGCGGGTGGTGGCTGGAGTCGAGCCCCTCGCTATTGGAGTGGAGTTTATAGACAAGACAGAGAGGTGCTAGTATGGGCCATGTGGTAATGGATTTGAGCTGGAGACATCAGTGGGGGCTCCGTTTACCTTCACATAGATGTGGATGGCTCCATACAGGAATATGGGATGATGTGTGTATCTAGACACGTTCGACTGAACATATATTTTTGCCCCTCAACAAGCACACCTCGAGCCTCGATCTGGCTTCTCGTGCCATTCTTCATTAAGAGGAATCAAAGCTTTTGGAAGAAGTAGCTAGTCCTATCGGGCAGGAAATGTACAAGATGAGGCTGTAGCTGCTTGTAGTGCCAAGAAAAATGAATCAAACAAAACAAAGCCCCACGTCAACAGGAACATGTCAGAGGAGTACAGAAGTCATACTACTAGTAACAATATGTTAGTAACTGGGGAAACTGGGTGTTTTGCCTGTATGGTCACAATTTTTCTGCAAATCAAAAAAAAAAAATTAAATGCAACCTAGCTGCGTTTAACAAAGTAGAGATTAATTTTTTTTTGCTCAGACAACAGTTCCGTGCAAATCACGTGCTGATTGAGGGGCCCAGACCCCTCCCATCTATGGCATGGCCATCTTCTGTGGCTGCAGGGTCTTCAGCTGGTTCAGCTCCATCGAGTCAAAGGTGGAGAAAGAGAAGAAAGTGGAAGGCAGGTGGGAGGTTCTCCTGGGGTGTGGAAGCCACCTGCAGCACTTCCACCCACATTCTCCAGGCCACACCTACCTGCAAGAGGGCCTGGGAAGTGTCCTCTTACTGTGAGCTCAGTAGGCAAACACAGGTCAGGAAAATGGCCAGTGGCATCCGTAGTGGAGGAGAGGGAAGTACTCAGCCATGGTACCAGGTCCTGTTACTGTATCCACTTAGGCAACCTCTGCAAAAGGGACATGATCACGCTTGTGTACCAGTTAGGGATGTCAACCGAAATAACATTCAGAGTCACCAAAGAATAGCAGTATTGATTTGGGAACAGCCGAGAATTGCAAAGGGAGTTCCTGTGCCCTGGTAAACTACGGGCAGATCTAGAAGGTTGCCGCACGGGAAGCTTTTATTAGCAGAAAAGGGGGAAATTGACATGAGCTGCTTGGATACAAAGCTCACAGGTGTTGGGGGCCCTAGGCAGGAGCTGGCTTCAGCTCGCTGCTGGAGGTGCCTTGCTGAGCACACACTCTGTCCAGAGTGTCTTCTCTGAACTGTCCCAGGCTTAAAGAATGCTGAACATAAACTTTGTTCCAGTGATCCGTGTGCGTGCAAGCAAGCTGCACCAGGCACGGGGCACGCGAAGGACGGGGGGCACTTCTCGTGGGGTTTTAGAAAGTCCTTAGAACAGACAGACAGGCCGACAGGGGTCCTCCCCCCAGCTCTAATTTTGTCCACGCTTGACAAGACCCATTTCTATTTGGTATCTTTCCCAGGGACGAAGGGTCAGAAGGTTCCCCCTCACTCAGGGTCCGAGTCTCTCGCCTTGGCAGGTGCTGTTGGATGCATGACCGCTGCTATGGGCGGCTGGAGGACGAGGGCTGTGGCATCCGGACACAGTCATACCAGTACCGATTCACGCGGGGCCTGGTCATCTGTGGTAAGGCTGCGGCTCCCATTCAAGCCTGGGATTCTCCTGCCTCTGAGTTCAGCTCCCCTTGGAGCAAGTCAGTATTTATTGGTAGAGTGGATCCTTCGGTCCTCATTGTGATTTAGTGTGGTCTTTTGCAGAACACGGGCCCTTCTGTCAAGTGGGTCTCTGCGCCTGTGACCGGAAGCTTGTCTACTGCCTGAAGAGAAACCTCTGGAGCTACAACCCTCATTACCAGTACTTCCCCAACATCTTCTGCTCCTAGCTGCCCTCGGTGGGCTCCTCCCCAGTGGGGACATTTCTGTCCTCTCCTGCAGCGGAGTGCCCTCTCTGCTGGGTCCTGACAGCTGCTCCCAGGTCTCATTCTTTCTCCATGCTCCACTGGGCCTGGAAGAGCCCCGGGTTTCCTGTCCCCCAGAGAGTCCCAAGAGAATGTTCTAGAACTCTCGGCAAGGCCCCAAGGTCCCTGGGCCTCCATTTGTAAGGCCAGGCCCTCTGAGGCTGGGACCTCTGTCCCAGCTCCAGGACAAGGTGCACTTACTTTTCTGTTTCTCTAATCAGATTTTCAGAACCATCCTTCAGGGAATTTTTGCTCAAGCCAAAGAAAACTTGGTTCCATAAACCTGCTCTCTGGGTGTTAAATAAAATTTATTCTTGAGGATGATAAAAACCATGCAGGGAATTCCCTCTGCCTCTTTCTCTATCTTTGGACACTGAGCCCAAAGTTACCTGCATTCTCTCAGACACAGAGGGAAGGGGTGGGACTGGATGAACTGTGGGACTTCTTTCGGACTCTTTTTTTAAACCTTGGGGGTTCCCCCAGCCAAGCACTGGATCTCACTCTTCCCCAAGGGAGTGGAGGGAAGATAATGGGCGGTTACACCAGCTTAGGCTTCCAGGCTAGAGAAAGCAGCATTCAAATCCCAGCTCTAGTTTCTCCAGCTGTGTGGTTTTCAGCCCATTACTGAACCTCTCTGATTTTCAATCTCTGAAAAAGAAACATTCCTTTAGTTGTAAAATGAGGCTTCTAATGCCCTTCTTGATTCAAATATAGGGGATACTGGGGTTCTGTGGCTCAGAGAACAGTTCCTTTTGTTGTTGTTGTTGTGTTTAACTAGGGTTCAGCTATGTGGTTTATTTTTGCCAAGTAACGACACTTACAAACCCAACTCTTCTACCAATTTATAGAAGAAAGGGCATTAACACCAATCCTTATAGGAAGAAAGGATGTATTCCAAATTAAAGGAGAGTCCTTTCCAAGACAGGAACTTTTGGCTTCTTTACACTGACATACCCCAAAATAGCCACATGATAAATGGGATCTATATTTAAAAACCTTCAGTGTCAAACATTTTCTAAATAAAATTTAATTTTATGGGTCACTCTCAATGTACTAGTGTTTTGTTATAGACTGAGTGTCTATACTTAACAACGCAACACAGAGTAGGGATTCAGTGCCCAATTTGCTCACTACATTTTAAAAGTCAAAGCCTGTCCTCAGGTCCAATGTTGAATGTATATGGGGAGGTAATAGGAAGCTTCCCTCCAGGGCCAGGCGAGGGATGCGGTGAGGTTATAAAAGAAACACCACAGGCTGACCTGGGTTTGAGCTGAAGGGACTGTGGGGGACCTTCATAGATCTACTAGAAAATCTGGGCTCAGAGAAGTTAGGTGACTTTCCCAAAGTCACAGAGCATATCGACAGTGGAAGTAGGATCAGACCTCAAGTCCTGGCTCTACCAACCCTGGGCTCTGCCCACTCTCCTGCTCTGTCTTCAACTCCTGCTCATAAAGGAAGAAAATGGAACTCAGAGTAATTGAGGGATTCACCTATACTGGGGTTCCTAGGAGGCCCCCCTGGATCCCAGCAGAGGCCTGGCTACATTTCTTCTCTGCTCTAACTGCCTCTTTGGTTTCAGAGGCTGCCCTGGGCGGTCAGTCTGTGGGGGCTCTAGGCTTCATCCTCCAAGGAAGAGACCCCAGGGGACCCACCTTTCCTGCTGTGGACAGCTCTGGGGAAGCAATGAGAGCTAAGTGAGCCCCAAACTGTGACTTGCTTATTCTTTGGCTGGCAGGGGTGTCACCAGAGGTCACTCGGTGACACTCAGTGGACATGTGGCCTTGTCACAGTAGGTCCTCTGCTGGTGTGTGAAATCGGGCTTTGGATTAAAAGACAAGCCCCCTCGTTGATAACATGATCTGTACGCACATGTGTGCACACGGGGGTGCTCAGACCGTCCCCCACTGAAAAGCAGTCGAAGGGAATCCACTGGTGGAGATAGAGTGGGGAGGGCTAAGGCCTGCTGACGCAGTAGCTGGTACATGGAGTCCCGCCAGTCCTGCCTGGGCGACAGCAGCACCCATGAGACCACTGTCCCCACCCGTGGTAGGGGTGGGACAGGAAGCTCAGGGAGGCCAAGTGCTCTGCCTGACGACACACAGGTAGCGAGGAACACGGGTGGGTGGGGGGAGCAGAGGCTGCCAGATGCCAAAGCTGAGTCCTTTCTTAGCCTGTAAAGCAGACGGCAGCCCCTGGGGAGCCTGGCACCAGGCCAGGTCTTTCAACAGACGCTGCAAAAAACCCATGTTGATTTGTACCAGGCAGGTGTGGTGAGTGGGGATGGTGTAACTAAGCCTAAACTCCTTTTCCCAGAATTCCTGTCCCTGCGGAATCCTGGGTCAGCAGAGCCCTGGGAGGTGTGTGAGATGTGGAAGGTGGAAGTGAAGCCAGGTTTCTTTTCCTACTTGGAAGTTGGGAGCCGAGCGCAGGATCTGTTTGCAGCACAGATGCGCTGCCCACGCCTGGCCTCGCTGCTGGCTGTCTCCTGGGCCTTCTCTGACTCCAGCTTCTCGCACCCTGAGGCTGAAGGTGTTGAGACCCACATGGATCTTGTCCACCCGGGGGGTCCCACTCCTCTTCATGTCCTTGCTCCCCGCCCCTTTCTTTCAGACAGTCCGCTGTGCTAACTCCAGGCTGTGCCACCCACAGAGTGCCACGCCAGCTCTCTACCTGCGCGAGGTTAAAATCCCTCCATCAATCTGTCATTAGAGAGAGGGCTCCCGCCTCTGCTGAACTCTGATGACATGGAAATTGTTCCCAAGGAACAGGGCCTCAAAGACAGGCTCTCTGACGTGCTTTCAGAGTGTGTTCTTATCTGATTAGAGATAAAGGTCTTCGTGGCTGGTGTTTAGTGGTAAAGGGGGACACTGATTGTCCGTGGCCTCCAGGAATAAAATGATCCACGGTGCACATGCTTTTACACAAGTGTTTTGTCTTCACAAGCTCTGGGTGACAGAGTAGTTGATGCTGTACAGCACTTTAGTGAAAATAAAACATATTGTGGAGTTGGAGAACTCGGAAATAGAAAATGATGAACTCAAGGCCTTCGGTTCTCTTCTGACTTTTAAGGTCATTTCCTGGTGGCTCCCCCATCATTCCAGTTTGATTGACAAAATTATTACGGACCCCCAAAGCCCTCCACTCTCTCTACCTGCGAATTGCGTTTTTCTTTCCAGTAAAATAAATAATAAAAGTAACCCTTTGCTCAAGATAAGGGACAGCAACGCTTCTCTGCCTGCCTCTGTAGAAGACAGAGACCTGTTCAAAAAAGGCTGGGGGGGGGTGTCCTGAATCAAGGCTGGAGGGGTGCCCTGCCTTGCCACAACCCTCCCTTTCAACTTGCAGGGCCAACAATAGCAGGTCACCTTCCTGCTGCCTGGCTGTATCAATTCTCTAGCCATGTGGTGATCTGGTCCAGGGGGACCTTCATCATCTCTCCAACTCCAGGACATCACACTGGTCCACCCCCTTGGTGACATCATGCTGGATGGACCAAGTGATTAGGAAGAGACATTACTTAACACATATTTGTGCCTTAGGGGGAAAATATATCCCGCAACAATATAGGAGCGCGCTCTCTCAGTGGCAGTCTCTCTCGGGGTCCCCTTGCCCTTTGACACGCATCTAGCCAGCTCTCGATTCATTGAGAAGGAAGCACAGTGCCCCGTGGGCCATTTGGACTGGGGAGACATGCAGCTCATTTGGTTGTCACCTCAACCCATTCACCAGATGTCCTGAGCAGCTGCCAGATGAGTGGACCCCAGACAAGAGCAGGCTCTGCAACAGGCCATAGGTGGGCAGGCCACTCTGCTACTTGGGCGTGTGACCCAGCAGGTCCAATGGGGCTTGGAATGCGTGAGCCTGAGGCGCAGGAGGAAGCCTCCACAGGCCTCAGAGTCTAGGAGCAGAGTCATGCCACCAGCCGTAGGGAGCCCTTCCCCTTTTCAGAGAGGGCACGGGGGCCTGCTGATTGGCCTCAGCACTGAATGCCTGACCTCAGATGACCAGACATCACGAGAATGGGCTGCACTCCGACCCACGGAGACATAAAGGTGGGCTCGCACAGCAGCAATTCTGACATCAAAGGGCAGTGAGTGGCACACACGGAATGGGCCCTGAAAGTCCCGAGAGCAAAGGCTGCTTCAGCCTCCCAAGCGGCTGGCGCTATGGCATGCGCTACCCCACCAGCACCTCCTCCATAATGGGTAACTTCAGGAGCGAGTTCCCCAGGACTAGCTGAACAAGGAGGAGGATCTCAGCTTACCTTACAGACATACGCTGGCCCTCGCTTGTCGGGGGTTTTAGCCCCCTGTTCCCTCCTGACCTGCGGGAGAGATTGGGGGAGCACGCCCCGACCAGGACGAACCAAGAAAGGTAAAGGTCGACTGGCCGCCCGCACCCAGCCCTCCTTCACGGGAGGACAATCAGATGCGCCAGGGAGGACAGTCAAAGCAGGATCTCGTTCAATGAGAAAACACACACAGCTAATATAATGTACAGGAGCCAATCGGGGTAAAGGTCAGCAGGGTGGGGAGAATTCACATCTACACCCATCCTACAGGCAGTAGTGGGAGACAGAGCAGTCTGTGAGGGCAGAAGGGTTCTGAGCCTATCCTAGAGGTGGTCCCATTCTTCATCACAACCCACGGCAATGCCTTCTGGCTAATCGCTAGGTGCTCTCTTAGCCACCTGTGGCCCCAGAACTGGGAAGTGGGTAGCAGCCAGCAAGTTAAGTTTCCTCTTTTCTGATGCAACATGGCCCACGTTACATCACGCCCTACACTTGCTGCCAGTCGCCACTTGGAACGTTGCAGCCCCTTCCTGTGCTGTTTGCATAAGACGTTCCTGTAATTAACTCCGTATCTCTGTCCTTAGAGGCTATCAAAAGGAGACTGAGATTCAGCTAGAATCACACTAGAGTATAGAAATGAATTTCACCTGAACTGGATGAAAGAAGTCCCCATCCTCTTTAGGGCCGTTCTGTATGTTCTAGATTATAGAAGCGATGACCACCATCTATTGGGCAGGAAGATGGTTTTGCTATTGTCTTTATTTGGAAAAGATGGTGGAAAGATGTGGACAGGGAGGAGAAGGCAACAAGAGAGACCACTGTGGATTTGCATCGTGTTTCTTAGCTAAGCTGAAACTTATTGCCCAGAATTCCCATCCCTGCCGAGGTCCAGGTGGGCAATGTACAGAGAGGTTTGATGACAGCCGGAAGCTGATAAGAAGCCCCGGTCACGTGATGTTCTCAATCAGAAAGCTGGGGCTGAGCATGGACTATGGTTGAAGTTAAAGCACGGCACCTTGCTGTTGGCAGACAGTTCAGCAACCGTGGGATTTGGACATCTCTAGGGACAAGGGCTGGGCTCACCCTTGGCCTCCCTGTCACAGGTGACTGCCAGGTCTATCTCTGCTGGGTGAAGTGTGAGCGTTAGTTAGATGCCATGTTAGACGGTGTCCTCAGAGACTTGAGAGAGTTAACCTGGTCCCCTGAGTGTCTTTCGGGAGGAGTGGTCTCCCCATATGGTTGGCCCCAGAAAACAAGGTTCCAACCATTGTAGTGTCCAGATGCTGCTGCAGATACCAGGCCACTTTCTGGTCACATTTGCCCATCGGCTCCTGGCACTTGCTTCTGGGACCTGTACCAGTCAGGGAAGGAAACTGGAGCTCTTGCTTCTGGTCAGCCAATCAGACAGACCCGTCCACCTCCACCCTGGCCAGACCCTCCCTGGATGGTGCCAGGGACTCTTTTCCTGCTGGGTTTAGAAAGCCCACAATTATACAGTACCTCTTCCCTGGGAGAGGCTCACTGTCATCAGCCAAGATCCTTTAGCCATCTTCTCTGGCAGGAACACCCTCTAAAGCCTTCAGTAGCTCCCCACTGCCAAGTTCCTCAGCCTGACTTTTAAGGTCATTTCCTGGTGGCCATACCACCTTTCCAGTTTTATCAACAAAATCATTACTTACCCCCAAAGCCCTCCTGTGGATTACATTTTTCTTTCCAGTAGCAACATTACCACTAATAAAAGTGACCATTTGCAGGGCCTGGGATTTCCATACAGATTATCACATTTAATCCTCCCAACAACAGCAACAAACAGGTGAGTATAATTATCCCACTGAACAGGTAAATCGAGGCTTGGGATGTGCCCAACACTGAGCCATCCTAGAAAGAGAGCAGGGATTTGAACCTGGGTTTTCCTACTCTTGGCCCTTCCTGTCCTGCCTAGTATGGGGCCCACGAGGCAGCGCCCCATAAATGTCCACTGAGTTCAATCCTGTGCACACCCCTGCCTCCTGGGCCTCCCTCCGTGGGGTCCAGAGCTGTCTTCTGGAAAACCTCAGCTTGGAGTCACAACTAGGAACTCGTCCCAGAAAACCTGGTTTTGGGAGACCTCAGCCACGGGTCAGCTCAGTGAAGACCAAAGGCCACGGTGGTGACCAGGGCACGTCAAGAGCCTCCTGAATCCCTCCCAAGAAGCACAGGATGAGCCCCTGTCTGGCCGGAGGGTTCAGAACTGAGTCCCTAGCCCAAACCACCCGGGCCCCTCACTCAGAGGGCCTAACATCCTACGCATCAGCTCTGGGTACCTAGACGTCAGGGAACTAGAAGCCGGGTGCTAGTTGTGACCTTGTACGTGAGTGACCTTGAGAAGGCCCCTGACCCTTCCTGGGCCTCAGCATTTCCACTTTAATGAGAGCAGGTTTGATAGATAATTTGAAGTCCGTGAGTGTGCGGCCGTGACCTCTGTGCGGAGGGTGCCCCCATGCGTGTGTACATGTGCAAACGTGTGTTGCTAGGTCACAGGAGGGAAGTCAGCCTCCGCACACTCTTTCCCTGTGGCTGTGTGTGGGAGTTGGCTGGGTCCACACGAACATTTTATGACTTTATGTGGGTTGCCATCAAAAGGTTTGAGAAACCCTCGTTCCCACGACCTCTCAGGACCCTTCTGGCTCTGAGGCAGCAGGTGTCTGAGTGGCTTCCATGTTTTAGCCTTAATTTCACACAACCCTTAATTTTCCCCTGGGGCTGGAGGTCCCTGGACTCCCTTACCCATCTCTTCAAACATTAGATCAGAACAGGGCTGTGGCCTGGGTCCAAGTCCCTGCTGGTATCAGTGCCAAGTGGTTCAGTAAGCACCCAGGAAGGGGACAGGGAGGGCAGGTGCTCGAGTCCCTGGTGGCACAGAGAGCCAAGCCAATGGGTTCCGGTCATGCTGAGCTTGGGCTACTCAGGCTTCAGGATCCGAGTGGAGTGCATGTCATGTGACCTCAGACCTGTGGTCCCAACCCCCTCAGCCTGTGTCCTAGCAGTCAAACAAGCTAATAACATCTTCTTCGCTGGGTCTTTGACACTATTTGCAGAGAAGGTGCACATAAAGCATCCATGACAGTGAAGGGCACACAGCAGGCACTCAATGAATGGCACCTGTCATAAGAGAGGACTCCCAATCCAAGTCCCAGAGGTCCGACTTCAAGGATAGTCCTAAACAAGTCCTGGGACCCAAGGTATCCAGTGTCAGGTGGAAGAGGGGAAGGCTGGATGTGGCCTTCAGTGACACTGAGATTGTATGGGTCCCATCTGGGGGAGCACTGGTGAGCTCTCAGGAAGGAGGGGCAGCAGTCCTGGGTGAGGCAGCATCTGTGGGGGACCCTCACTGGCCCAGGGTGAGCAGGCAGGCTTGTAGCTGGTCATGAGGCTGTGTGGGTCTTCAGCCTCAGCCCTCCCTGAGCCTTGGCACAGACCTGGGGGCACCTGCCCCATGCCCATCAGCAGAAGCCCTCCTGGCTTCAATATGCCTCCAGGGCCAGCCTCCCCAGCAGGGGGCCTCCTTCCTCTTCTGGGCTCCCTGTGGTCCTGTTCCTTTATCCACCCAACACCCAGGGTTAGTCCTGAAACACACACTTATTGAGCATCTATTTGGGCCAGGCCTGGGCATAGAACTGGGGGCACAGAGGTTCACAAGAAGAGGCTCAGGTTGGGGAAGGGACTGGCTCTCAATAGAGGGGATAAGGAGGGGGGTTGGGGAAGGGCTTTCGGATGAGCCCAGAGGCTATTGTCTGGGCAGGGAGATGGTGGCCTGCCAAGGCCTCCTGGACCCCATCTCCAGCAAAACAAGCAGAGTGGCCGTCTCGACACGAAGGACCCAGTGCATGTCACCCAGTGCCATCCTCCGACTTCCCAGTGACACAGCACATCCATGGGGCAGCATGACCCCTGGGGGGGCCTGGCAGAAGGGAGAAGCTGTGCCAGGTGCAGCCTGCTGGATTCTGAGGCTGCCCCAGGGACAGGAGGTCATCAGGATGACCGGATCCCCACGCTGGTCAGAGCTTGGAAACACGTATCTTCAAACCAGCTCCCCAGCGATGCTCACAGTGGTCAGGTGTGGGGACACTGGGGAGACGCAGGTCCGGGGAGGCCATGTGGGTCACATGTTATTTTGTGACTCTGGGGTAAGACGGGAGCAACGCCAGCTTAATAGGTTCACACACACCCACAGGTGTGTCCTGATGACATCCCAGAGTCAGGGACAACCTTCCGTCCTGGTACTAATTTGCCAGATTTCTAAGTTTGAGACAGTGTCCCAGGGGTCAAGGGGTAGGAGGCATGTCCTCCCCAACACACGTTGAACTAGCCTGCCATCACCACCCACCAATGCAGGGATTCATCACTTCTTTAAAAATCAAAAGAATTTTTCATATTTTATTATAGAAAATGTTCTTAAAATGTAATGTATTTACTTACCTTCCTTCTGAACCAACTACACCCCTGTAACTTTCTTGCCCTTTCTTGGATGGTCCCAGGTCATTGGGTTAATTCCCCTGTGCTGGTCAACAGCTGCCCCACCCCTGGCCCAGCAAGAAGCTGGCAAGAGAGTGAGATTCATCTTACAGAAATAAAAGTCACTTCTCAAAGTCAACTTCTCCGTCAGTTCCAAAATGGCAGAAACTGGGAATCAATAAGCAACTCAATTGTCTGGTCTGAGTGGCCCCGATTCAGAAAATCTGAAAACTGTCGGGTCCCTATATGGAAAATGCTTTGAGTCATCAGTTTTAAATTGCTGATCTAATACATTCAGAATGATGCATAATTGGTTTCCTATAAATCAAAGTGAGCCAGCTGCCAGACGCCCCGATATTACTCAGGTTCCAAATTTGTTGCGTGTAAACCTTGAACCTGTCATTATCTTCTCTGGGCATCTCTTTATCGAGACAGTTGTACTGTCCTGTGGGACATCGAGTCACAGTTCTGAAGGGTGACAGCTCTCTGGAGCCCCCTGTAGAACTGTGCCAACCTTTGAACATGTTCCACTTTTTGAAGTGTTTCAAACCCCTGATCCAACAACAGAGCCTCATCACATCCCATTTTAGAGAGCGTGAAACGGAGAGACACAGAAAAGTATCCTGCTAAAGGTTATATCCAAGCAAGGACTTGAAATAGGACCCTGAGGTTGGGGTCAATCCCAGCTACCGGAGCTGGTGACCTGCAGCAGTGTTACAGAGCTCCCCAGGGGACCAGGACTGTGCCCCTGTGCCTTGCCAGGTACCTGACACGCCCCAGCAGATCCCAGTGCGGGCTGTGTCCCAGGTCCACCCCACACTGACCACTCCAGTGGACCCTGTGATGGAGCTACTGTGAACACCCGTCTGGGGCACAGAGATGTTAAGGAGCCTGCCCTGGAGCTGGTGACAGGCACTGAGGCCTTGAGCCCCAGAGCCCACCCTCTGAGCCAACCAACCTGAGTGAGTCAGAGTGGCCACCCCTGTTCAACACGGGGCCCGGGCAAGGCTTCTGTTTGGACCTGCATCCTGGCTGATGGCCAGGAGGGCAGCATGACTCATCCATGTGTGGTCCCCCAAGCCATGGTGACAGGCATACTGCAGTAGCTGAAGAAGGGCCACATCCCAGGGCCTTCTGGATCATTCATGAGCTCTAGCCAACTGCCCCAGGGAGAACGGCCCTGCCCTGCAGGGAAGGAAGGAAAGAAATTGTTAAGCTCGAATTCGGGACCCCCAAAAGACCACCAGAGACCAAGATCGATGTAAAGATCATAAGAGGTGTTTATTGCGAGCTAGCTCGGTCCTCCGCACGCACACACAGCAACTGGTGACGCTGAGAGGCCCCGAGCCCAGCGTTTGCAACAGTTTTATACATTCTTTGGAGAAGGCAGGGACCCCCACATACATCATAGCATCTCTTAGGAAATCATCACACATCGCGGGAAAATCAAACAACTCTAAAACATGATTAGCACATTCACTGGCGGGAACAAGTTGGGGAGGGGTGATTGGTGAGTACAAGAGGGGGATTCGTTTGAACTGATTGGTTTAAGCCAAAAGGGGTGTTTGTGCTGAACTACATGGTTTCCCAACATGTTATCAACCACCATAAACTACTGGGAGGGTCATCTGGCATCCCAGGTATTTTCCTGTCTCATGCTGATTGGTGGCTGCTAGGGGGTTGCTATGGATCTAGCCTGACTGAGTCAGGGACACCTGGCGCAGCAGATCTCTCCTGTTATTTGTAGATAAACAACTTAGCAGGGTGGGAATGTGCCTAGGAGTGCTCTGTGGGTCTTTCCAAGGACAAAGGTCATGTCCCTTCCTTGGACAGGCTTTGCTCTGAGGTAGAGGCTGGTTTTTCAAAATAAAGTTGTATAGATGCAGCTGTTGCCACCTCGGATGCAGATGATGACATTCAGGACAACCACACAGCAGGGTCACACTATGGCCCAAGTTCCAAGGGAGTCCTGGCAGGACAGATCTGGTCTGTCATTCAAGCTTTACAAACCCCTGTGGGGACAGTCCTGGGACTCCCTTTTCGTGGGCAAAGAGACTGAAGTTTCAATGACAGGGACCTGGAATTTCACAGCTAGGAGCCAGGAGGCTGTGGACTGGTCCACACTCTACCTGCAAGGTTAGTGTTTCTCCCGCCAACCTTCCGTGTGGCTTATTTTCCCCCATGGAATTAAGATGGGCGATGGGCAAGCTGCGGTTCATGTTTTACTTATTTTTCTGTTTAACTGGTTTTTTTCACTTTAGTCATTTAGGTGTCAATGGGGAATTGCAGGCCAAAGTTGGAGAGGAAACCCTTTTTCCTCTTTTAGGTCCATCCCTGGGGGCCTGCAAATTAAAAAAAAAAAAGACTAACAGCAAAGGGGGTGCAGGATTTTATTAACATGTGTGCGCCTGGTAGTTCACAGAAAGATGAAACCAAGAAGCTGTTTGACTCCAGGGCCTATGTATCCTCTTAAAGGAAAGAGTTTGGCCCTCTAGGGGTAATCAACGGTGGTGAAATGGCTAGGAAATAATATAGGGGAGACAAGGGAAGAGGAAAGGCTTTTCTACTGAGGTCTGTTTGTGCAAACTCATCTCGGCCTGAACCCAGGCTCCAGAGAGAGGAGCTCTTCTCCTCCTTCGACTCCTTCCTCCACAGGAGACCTGTGCCCGGCTTCTAGTGGGCTAAGGGCGGGGCGGAGAACTCTCTTCCGGCCTCTGCTCATTCTCAGTTGCCTTCAGCTCAAAACAATCCTTCTGTCAAAGTGGCACGTTCTGGGGTGACGCCTTCTGCTGCCCTTCCCCAGGGAGGAGGATTATGTACTGGGGGGCACGGAGCCAAAAGGGACAGGAGCAGCCTAGCGCTGGAGTCTCTGGAATCTGGGGCTCCTCGTAGCTCCCCAAGAGCAGAATGGATGTTCCTCGGGGGGCCTCCTTCACCTTGGCCTCTAGCCCTGCCTGGGCATGGCTTCCCAGGGCAGAGCCAAAGAGCGCTGGCTGGCACAGGGGCCCGTGCTGTGCCCAGACCAAGCCTCTCCAGATCCTTTAACCACGTGGAGATGAAGGTCACTTGGTACTCGGTGTCCTTGACACCTCTGAAATGCCTGCCAGCTCGCCCAGCAACTTCAGATTGTACACCACCACTACCTGATGAGAGATTTTAATTCAATTTAATTTAAATTTGCAGCCCTGGAGACGGAACTGAGGTTCTGTCTAGGCAAGAGCTCAGCCACTGAGCCGTGCCCCTTGCCTCTGATTCTATTTTGTTCTTCTTTTCTTTTCTGTTTTTGGTCCTGGGGATTGAACTCAGGGGCACTTAACCACTGAGCCACATCCCCAGCCCTCTTACGAATTTTATTAGAGACAAGGTCTCACTGAATTGCATACGGCCTCACTAAATAACTGAGGCTGGCTTTGAACTCATCATCCTCCTGCCTCAGCCTCCCAAGCTGCTAGGATTACAGGCGTGGGCCACCGTGCCCAGCTCTATTTGTTCTTAATGGACACCTTTCGTTGGTGCCATTGTTCTTGGTTATCCCTGGACCAGAGATATAAATTTCCTTCTTAAATAAATTATTTCAGTTAAGTGAAAGAAAAAGAGAGAGAGAGAGACAGGGAGGGAGGAAGGGAGGAAGTACTCAACGTGGCCTGGGGAAGTTCCCCATGATCCACCAGGGTTTGAGCAGGCCTTCTCAGCCCCTCGAGGGTGGCAGATGAAGCAGTAGCAGCCCATGGCGTAGGGCTGGGCTGGAGGTCGGTGTGCCCAGGTGGGGTGAAGGAGCCCAGGTACCAGCAGGCTGGGCCTCGGGACTGGCAGAGGGGCAGGTCTCTGCTGCTCTGGGCGTGGGGGCAGGAGAGTGGTGGAGCAGGACTGGGGAGCACCGCAGGCAGAGAGGGTTCTACACCTGCTCAGCGTGGCGCTTGGCCGGGTGCAACTTGTGACAGACGCAGGCTCCTGCCCCATCCCACCCAGGCCCACGGACTCTTCAGGTTGTGAAAATAAAAGGTAAAGTGGTGACGGGCGTGGCCCTGGGAGAGTGTTCCAGGTGGAGCCGGAGGCCACGAGGACACAGGACCTCTGCGTGGTTCACGCAGTGGCCTGGGTGTGGGCTCTGGTCCCTTCTGGTGCCAGCGACGACGGGGACGCCTTGCTCCACCATGCCCAGAGACTCAGACACGAGTCTTGCGTGGACGTTTTTACTTCTTTTCTCCATCTTTTGTGGATCACAAAGACCCTGCACCTGTTCTCGACTCCCACAGATGTTTCCCCACAAAAGAATTGTTGCTGCCCCAAAATACCCCGCTGTCTGCTCCCTCGGCCCCCCTCTTCCTCCAAACACCGACTCGGAGCTCTCTGGATCTGCCTCCCGAACTGCCGTTCCTAAGACCCCAAATAAAGTCCCATTCAGGGTCCCAGTTTGTCTTGGTCCACAAGGTGTGGGGCCCAAGAGCCTGCATTATAACAGGACCCCACCCCTGGGGGGACGACTCTTGTCCCTCATTGAGTTGATGACCTTTGCGTTTGGGGGTCACCCTCTGGGAGGGCAGGATGGCCCCAGGACCCAGGGTTTAACATGGCTTTTGCTCACCCTTGCCGGGCCCCTGCCACTTCTGCTGATGGAGTGAGCTCAGGCCAGATGTGTCCCCATCTGTGAGCTGGGAGCACTGACCCCACCCTGCAGGGCCATGCTGAGTCCTGAATCCTGGAAACCTGTCTTCCCATCCCCCACTCAGGAAGTGGAGCCACCGATGACATGGGACTGTCACCTCTCCTGCTCGGCACTTCCAGCCCTGGGGTGCCTGGGGCCAGGGAAGGGCACTTATGGGGTCCTTCAGCAGAGCCAGGGACACCTGCAGCCTCCTCTCCGCTGACCCTTGATAGGAGGGGACAGCCCCAGCTTCCCCTTATCAGCCACCCACTGGGGTTGAAAGAGGCAGCACCCCTAAAGATTGTACCTCATTCCAGTGACTCCCCAGGGAGTGTGGGGGGGTTGTTCTTGGCAGGGGGTGGATTTCTGATCCCTGGAAGGAGGAGGCTGGGAGGTGATATACTTTCCATCTGCCATCCTGCCCTCTACTCTGTCCCAACTCTCACCAGTGGCAGGTGCACATGAGGAAACAGATGAGGGTTGGATGGAAAATTTCCTTCCCTGGGGAGGCATTAGCACCTCCGTGTTAGTGATCACAAAATCAGGATCAGAGAAGTAGCCCCACTAGCCCAAGGTCACACAGCTGGGAAGGAGTCCAGTTGAAAGAAATAGGATGGGCTTTCCTATCAGTCCCTATTCATTCATTCATTCATTCATTCATTCTCTTATTAGAATTTCTTCTCCTCAGCCTTGTTCTGGATGCTGGAAAGGTTCCTCTCCATCCTTGTCTTCCAGGTGCTCACATTCTGGTTGAGAGTTGGGGTAAGGGAAACAAATGGCTCAATAAGTACTTGATTAAGAACCACCAGACGGGGGGAAGCAGGGACATAGAGAGGGCAGGAGAGGAGAGTGGAGCGGGTAGGGGGTGCTGTGGGTTGGGGTCACAAGCTGGGCTCTGGGTGGAGAGGGGCCCGGAAGCATCTCCCACTCAGGTCCCCAAATTGCAGGCCGCGGCCAGGAACCTAAAGGTGAAAGAAGCCCGGAGGGGCCCTTGGTGGCCTGCTCTGAGCCCCCCTAACTGCCTTCAAGTCTTTTTACATTTTAATTTAAAAACCACTGGAGGCCTCTGTCTGGAGAGCAGGCGGGTCCCCAGCAGAAGAGAAGAGGAAAACACAGAGCCGGTCCCTGACTTCCCTGGGGTCAGGACAGGTCTCACGCTGACCTCAGGCATGAGCATGAGCGTCAGGGACCCCCCACACACACAGGCAAATGCCCCAGGGCAGGAAGGCAGGAGCCGGGCCAGAGGGCAGGACCTGGGGAGGAAACAGACAGGGACCTGGGGAGCCATGGCCACCACGCTGGCCCCGGCTGGGCGGCCAGAGGTAGAACCCTGGATCATCCAGTGGGCAGAAGGGCCTGGCGTGGGCTAAGGCGCTCCAGGAGGGAGGGTTCCATGCCAGGGCCACCATGGTCCTCAGTGATTCTAACCCTTTTCCTGCTTTGTCACACCCCACCCCCACCTCATTGTCCCCAGGAGTGGCTAATCCCCCCCTGGGGCACCCGGGCTGAGTCAGGAGCTGTCCTAGAGTGTGGGAGTTAAGGTGGAACACGCCCTGAAGCCAGAAAGACCTGGGTTCGAATTCCAGCCCTGCCACTTAGCAGCTGTGACTCAGGGAGGCAGTTTCAGTTTCTGCAGCTGCAAAACCCGGGTGACCACACCGGAGCCTGCAGCGGTGGGGGAGGGGGAGGGGCGCCACGGTGTTCCACGCCAGGTGTTCCCTGTGGGCCCCTCTCCTCCCCCACTGGGTGACCTGAAGGGAACAGGAAGTACCGTGGCTGTGCCCTCCCGCCCGCTGGTTCACACAGGTGCACGTGGGGGACGTGGGTGGGGAACGGATGTCCCCGGGAGCTGTCCTTCCTTTCAGCTTCTGGTCCAATTTCAATAAATGGGACCTGAGAAGAGCTCAAGGGTTAGGGCCACTGCTTACCTTGGGACCCACCGTCCCGGCTGCCTGAGGTCCCCCTTCCTGCCTCCTGACCCTAAGTCCCACGTCTCAGCCTATCTGAGAGTCACTCATTCACACAACAAATACCGACTGATCTCCCACTAGGTGCCAGGCCTGCGCTGGTTGAGGGGAGGTCGCAGGGAGACCCCTGCACCCAGCCCTACCCCTCAACCATGAGGGTATTTCAGCCCTCAGCCTGGGCAATGCAACGTCCTGATTCTATCAGCTACCTGCCCCTTGGGGACCTTGACTCTGTCCCCTCTCAGGGACAAATAAATCCGGAAGTCTCTAAACCAACCATTGCCTTGGGCCACTACTGGTTTGGGGGGGCCTATCCTATGGAGAAGTCCAGTGGCTGTGATGGGCTAGACACAGAAGAGACAGCGTCTTCTGGGCTGGACCCTGGCTTGAGGTCTGGAAACACAGCAGCCATGAGTGGCCCCCTAAGGGCAAAGCCAGCACTGCAAGGGTGGCCCACCCAGGAGCAGGAGAGAAACCAGGCTTTGATGACATCATCAAGTTGCCAAAGAGCCAAACTTGGAACCTCCCTCCCTGTCAACTTCGTGTCCCATGACATCATCGACGCCCTCAGCGTGGAAATCCACGGAGCCAGTTATCAGCTGGAAGCTCATCTTCTGCTTTTGTCAGGGTGGGGGCTCCTGGGGATGGAGCCCAGGGCCTCGTGTTCTCTAGCAAGCCCTCTACCACTAGGCTACCCAGCCTAGCTGGAACCTTCTGGATGGTACAAACAGGACACAGAGCAGTCCCTGTGCCTCTGCCTTTTGCAGAGGCAAAAGAAGCCCCAAAATTTAGTATAAATGAGGAGCCAATGAACAGACACTCAGCCAGCCGACACTGATGCCCTCACTTTGAGCTTGGTGAGGACCTGGCTGACATCCCAGCTCTGCTCATCATTTGCTGATCCTCTGCATCTTCCTCACCTCCCTCAAACTCTACAGCCACATCTTGACCCTGGTGAGAGCCGAGACTTCTCCCTAGGACCCTCTCCTCAGCCAGCCGTCAGCTCCACCCCGGGAGAAGCCTGCCTTGGTTCCTGGCCTGATCACCATAGTCTTAGGGAGTGTGCATCTGCTGGACTTAGAGCCCAAGGCTTGAGACTTTAGATCTGACACTTGAGCTTAGCACGCAGAGGGAATGTCTGTCATGAGCCTGTCATGATTAAGTGTGTTTGCAGGGCTTAGAATTCATCTAGAATTGTTTGCTGTGAATTGATTCTGTCTTTTGCAGTGCCTAGCATTAAGGATGGTCATTTCTTGATTAAGAACCTATAGAGTGAAACTGCATTGTGTGACTTGAGAACTGAAAAGGGCAGAAGCGCATGGACATTCTTTATTTCTCCTCCTCGACTGCATAAGTCGCACCTTTTGCCCATCGCGACAAGTACTCACATACAAGTAACTCTTCTTATTTTTCATGTCTACTTCACACGCAAGGAAACCGAGATCCCTCAAGTAGGGCACATGGATAGTCAGAGACAGCACTGGAATGTTTTAAAATAGATTTTTTGGGGGGGTTCACAGCAAATTTGGGTGGGAAAGAATGGAGATTTAGCAACCTCCTGTCCCCTCTACCATCACTGTCCCTCACAGGAGTGGGCGTAGAATGATAATTTGGACCCAGAGCCTATAGTTTTTAATTCCTCTCACACTGCCTCGCTCGACCTACTGAGTTTCGGGAAACCTGTACCATAGGTCATTGCCCGAGTGTGTGACACAGGCCACAGTGTGGGGAGCCCCAGGTGCCTCAGCTGGCCCCGTGGCTGGACACACAGCTCATCATATACGAAGGACGGATTGTGGATCCTTATAAGAAAAAGCCATCTGCCTAAATGTGTGTTTCCCCAGAAGCAGAGCCCAGATGAGGATCCTGTGTAAGTTTCTCACCGAGGGCTGTCTCTGGAGAAAGCTGCAGAGAACCAGGAGAACAGGCCAGGCCAGCAGAAGAGGCAGGGAGGAGAGGTGGTTCCAGAAGTCTCTGGGGCTTCCTACCACCCTGATCCCCAGAGGAACTCTGGGCACTGACCCAGATGGTCCTGCATGGAGGCAGGGGGGCCAGGCAGCTGTGCCCTCCAGGGTGTTGAACTTTGGTCAGTCACAGGTGGCCTCCTTGGGTGTGTGTGGGGTGGGGGGGTGCAGGGCCAGGAAACTCCCAGAAAAGAAGAGAAGGAGGGCAGATGTGGGGGCTTTGCAGCCAATACCTGGCTTGGTTGGGAGTGGAGTCCTGAGTCCGGGAGGGATCTGGATGGGACACCAACATCCTCTCCAGCCCCTCTCCAGAGTGTTCATGATTAGCTCATCTGATCCCCAACAGTAACTGAGCACGGAGCCCGTGGGAAGCCGAGGAAACACAGATGAGGCGGACGTGGTCTGTGTCCTTGAGGTGCGCCTGTCTGGCTGGGGACGGGGAGGAGTCCCATTCACCCCTCATGGGAAGCCCCAGCCAGGGCCAGGGGAGCCAGGAGGTGCCCGTGAGCCCTGGAGGGAGGAGAGATGAGCCAGGAAGACTCTCCTAGGAAGCAGCCCTTTCTCCCTGAGAGGCCCAGGGAGGCCATCCAGGAGGAGGGGGCCACAGGGCCATTTCTGCAGGAGGACCCTGAGCAAGTGCCAGAGGCAGGAAGCAGCAGGCTTCCAGGAGGGAGCCTGGGGCTACAAGAGCCGCGGCCTCCTCCCATCATGGCCTCCTCCCACCCTGTCCTCAGAGTTTGTGGAGGCCTGCTCTGTTCTGAGGCTGCTCTGGGGTGCAGCTTGGGGAGAGGGGCTGGACTCTCTGGGGCCCAGTTGGGAAGAGGGACATGGGGCCTGACGGCCGGGCTCTGAGGGGCTCTATGCTGGGGCCGTGGAGGACCTGGGGGTTTCAAGAGTCACTCGGACAGGATGATCAACATTGCGCTTTACAGCAGCCACTCAGGCTGTGGCTTGGGGTAGGTGAGAGGGACCAGCAGGGGTGGCAGTGGCAGGGAGCCAGGCCCACACAGCTGCCTCGACCCCCCAGCACCCCTCCCCTGACTGCTTTGGCCCAACCTCATGGTCCTGGGTGCTCCCTGGCCTCCGCCCACCCTCAGGGGAGCCGGCACTGCCTTGGGTGGGAGAGTCCAGAGGTCGGGCCCAGCAAGGGCGAGGGGCCCTTCCCCCTGGACTGTTTTAAAATCCAGCTGGTTAGATGCCAGGGCGGGACCACGGCAATGCCCTGAGATGGGGAAGGATGGCAGGGGAAGCGAGTTGGGCTTCTAGCATGAAGGAGTGGGGTCCTGGCAGCGGGACCGCCAGTAGAAACGCAGGAGCTTGTTGTAGGAGTCGAGGTTGCTCTTCAGGCAGAAGGCCACCTCCTTGTCACAGGCACACAGCTGCTGCTCGCACCAGCTCCCCGTGTGGGCTGTGGGTGGAGGAGGGGGCCGTTGAGCCGCTGCCGGGGAAGCCCAGACAAGACCTGGTCCAGGGGCCCTGGAAGGCCGCCCAGTCCCTGCTCAGCTTGGAGGTGCCCCCAAAGCCATGGGACTCCCTGTGTGTCTTGGTCCTTGCCTACTGTCACCCACCCACTACACAAATATGGAGCACCCACCCCACACCCACAGGGCTGGTCCTGGAGGGAGAGCACTGAACAGAACGGGTGGCCGGGGCTGGGGGACAGGGATGAGACCGCCGCAGAATGAGTGCACACGCAGGGCTGGAGAGGACGAGTGGAACGGTGGTGAGGGGCCACGGGAGCCACAAGCTGGCTGCAGCGTCTCCTCCTTCCAGGGAGAGCTGGGGAGGGCAGGGAGGGAGGGGCCAGGATGGAGGAGAACGTGCAGACTCCAGGCCGGAGGGACCACCTGCCTCCATTTCTGTATCTGGAAAGTGGGGTTAATGACGGGGGCTGCTCAGAAGGCCATCGTGGGAACTAAAGAGTACAAAGTACTTAGCCTAGAGTGGGTATGGTTATTATTCAGCCGTTAGTTAGCCGGGCATGGCGGTGCACACCTATAGACCTAGTGAGTCAGGAGGCTGAGGCAGGAGGGTTCACATGTTGGAGGCCAGTTTCAGCAACTCAGAGAGACTCTGTCTCAAAACAAAAATCAATCAATCAATAAATAAAAGGGCTCAGTGGCAGAGCACCCCTGGGTTCAATCCTCAGTACAAAAACAAAACAAAAATAAACGAAGTCTTCAGCTACCAACATCTGCTATCAAAAAAGACCTTCAGATTCTCAGCCCGAGGGCCAGCTGACCTGGGGGCTAGGTGACCTGTCCTTTGGAACTCTGTGACCCAGGGAAACGCTTCCCCGCTCTAGTTTGAGAGTCCTTGTCTGTGCAACGGAGATGGGGGTCTTGCTGCCCGCTTGTGGGCTGTTATGAGGGTCAGTAATGGTGAAAGTAACAGCAATGCCAAGGGCAGCCCCGTGGGTTTCTGGGCGTGCTCAGTGGCAGCCGTCCTGTGAGGCTCATTCTGTTGGTTTCATTTGAGTTCTTGCAATAACTATATGGAGTAGATTACAGATGAGGATACTGAGGTTCAGAGAGGTTAAACAATGTGCTTGTGGTCACAGAACTGATCAGTGCTAGGCCTGGCTTCCTGATGCCAAAAGGATCAGACCTCCCCTTGGACCTCTCCTTACCCCACACCCATGCCTGCTTCTCCTCCACAGCCCAGCTGCTGCCACCAGACACGTAAGAAGAACAGAGAGGTCAAGTAGCTTATGCATGGCCACTCAGCCTTCAAAGGCAGCGAGGGCCAGAACTCCCCCCCTGAGCCTCCAGCTCTGACCCCAATACCCAGATACTCACGGCACTGGACTTCCCCCTGGGAAAAGGTGTAATTATAATGGTCCCTCTTGGGTCTGCATTGGTAGGTCCTCAGGTGTTTGTAGCAACAATCATGCTTCTGGCAGCACCTGGTGGGACAGGCAGGGCGCCCAGCTGCATGGGTCACTAGCTCACACAGGTCTCTGGCTCTTCCCACCCATATGCCCACCTGGGAAGAGTCAAGGATCATAATAGCTAACATTAATGCCTCTGGTGCCCCAGGCACCTGCCGCGACTGAACATTCTCTCTTAATCCTTGAGGCCACCCAAGGCTCGAGGAAGTCAGCCTGTAAGTGGTGGCTCAGGGACATGCCCCCAGCCCTGGCGGGCCTCACCCTTCCTCGGGCCAATTCCCAGGGTGGTTGAGAGGATCAAATGAGACTCAGCAAAAAGAGGCCGGGGCTTTGAAACACCTCGTACAGTGGCAATAGGGAGTGTGTGTGTGTGGGGGGGAGGTGTCATTACTAGATTAGGGGACAGGAGTGCAAGAGGGTCAGACCTGCAGAGACCTGGGCTACCACCTAGAAGGATGGGGATTCAGGAGAGGCTGTAACATAGTAGGTGCTCAGCAAAATGAATTCATTAAATGAATCCATGAATGGAGAAGAAAGGAGCGTCTCAGGCTAGGACTACGGGCCTGGGAAGGGGGTTACCAGTCTGTGGCATCTTTGGGCTGGCCTCTGCCACCAAGTCCGCAGTAACAACCATAGGGCCAGTAGTTGAAGAGGGGTATCTTCTTGGTCACTTGCCGGACCATCTTGTTCAGATTCAGGAGGCCTCCCTGGGCTGGAGTCAGACCTGGCAAAGAGTCCAGCAATGAGGAGAGGGGACAGACGTCCCGGGGACGCCGTGGGCCCCAGGGTGACCTCTGCTGGATGAGGGGATGGGGAACTTCGAAGGATAATGAGGATAAAATAATAACTACGGCCATAATCAAAAATACAGTGCTGTCTGGGAGCGCTGAGCGCTTACCACGCCCTGGGTTCAATGCCCGGAACCAAAAAATAAGATAAATAAAATAAAAATATCATGACAGTTATATTTTTATATATTAAGTGCAGGCCTTTTTCTGTATTGATTTATCTCCATCCCATGAGATACATGCTGATTTTTTAAATAAATAATCTTTTTATTTTGGAATAATTCTAGACGTACAGGAAAGTGGTAGAAATAACACAGAGCCCCCCCCCCCCCCGTCCCCCCATCCGGTTTCCTCTAATGTATCACTTTACACAGTCACGAGCATTTGTGAAAACAAACATGGGAACAACAGACGCCTTTTTTTTTAGGTGTGGCTGAAGGTACCATTTTTGATCCCTGGTTTCAGGTGAGCGGACTGAGGCTCAGTGACTTGCTCAAGGTCATGGGGGCGGTGGCAAACGGAATCAGAATTGGAACCAAGGCAGCCTGGAACCTTCTCTGTAGTCCAATGCTACCCCCTCCACCCCCCAGGGCAGTTCCAGTGTGAAAGAGCCCGTGTGGCTCTCCCGGAAGCAGTGTGACCTAGGAATCGGCGCTTTTCACTTCAGTCCCAATAGCTGCGGGCTAGAATCGATCACGAGGGGAAATCCATTTCATTGAGGGAGAGGAACACGTCAGGCCGAGTTGGGAGAAATAAAATACATTAAGTCAGGGAACTCGGGTGGGGGGGGGGACGATGGGAGGAACAGGCAACCCAGAATTGGACTATGGCCCTGAGCAATTGTTCAAGATCATGGGGCCTGTGTGTCCAGGTGGAGCCCAGGGTCTCACGGGGAGACAGGGCCGGGCAGCCCCTCCAGGTGACCTTAGCCATGGTACCCCACCCTCAGAGAACAAGGCTGCAGTGAAACTCCTTAGGACACAGGGGTTCGAGTGAGGGGTTGGGAGGGACTCGTGCAGGGGACAAAGGCTGAGATCACAAGCAGGTGGCCTTGGGCTGCATCTAGAAGTGAGTGGACTGTTGTGTCCCCTTGACATGTGGGAGCCCACACTGCCACTCCTGTTTGACCCCGTGGCTCTAGCTGAATGGGATGCTAAGCTTTGACTGTTGATGAAGGGTCCCAGGCCCTCTGGAATCATCTGGGATTCCCATCAGGAATTCAGCGATTCCCAGATTCTGTGATAAGGAACCCCAGGGCAACCACCTTGTAGATCAGCCGAAGACCTGAATCAGATCCTTGCCCGTCTTACTGGCCTCTGCCTTCTTTTCCTTTCCTTCCCCTCCTCTCTTCTTCTCTCCCCTCCTCCCCCTCTCTCTCTTTATCATAATTTTTGGGGGGTACCAGGGATTGAACTCAGGGGCACTCAACCACCAGGGATGAGCCACATCCCCAGCCCTTTTATGTATATTATCTAGAGACAGGGTCTCACTGAGTGGCTTAGCACCTCATTTTTGCTGAAGCTGGCTTTGAACTTGAGATCCTCCTGCCTCAGCCTCCAGAGCCGCTGGGATTACAGGTGTGTGCCACTGTGCCCAGCTGTTTACCAAAAATCTCAGTGAGGACAAGTCCAGCCTGAGAAATTGAGCACATGCCACGCATACAGGGGCTTTGGTGACCTGGCTTAGCCTGCTAGCAACTTCTGTCCTGATAGCCTTTCCTGACCTCAACTGCCCTCAAGAAGGTGGCGGGGCAGAAGGAGATGCTGCATCTCTGTGCACGAGCCGTGTGTTATTACTTACCACTGATCACACCTGCTCCAGACGTGGCATCAATGTTCTTATTAGTTCCTTCCAACATCCCTATATAGGGGATGCTTTGTACCCATTTAACAGATGAGGATGTGGCGAGGTTGGGGGGCTTGGCCAAGGAGATGGTGAGGTCCTGCTTGAATGCAGGTTCGTCTCTACACTATGTTGCCTCTTTACATCTGAGAGACGAATTTTTGTAGCTTGTTTGCAAATTTTATAACGATTTTCATTGTAACCTCAGAGGAGTGTTGCTCCTCCGTTGCAAAAAGTCCCAAGACCACATAAAATTTCTTTTTTAAAAAAACACAAGACCACGCTGGGCGTGATGGGGCACGCCTGTAATCGTAGCGATGCAGGAAGCCAAAGCAGGAGGCCCTCAAGGTTGAAGCCAGCCTCAGCAATTTAGCAGGACTCTTTCTCAAAATAATAAAGAATAAATAAAAGGGCTGGGAACATATCTCAGTGGCAGAGTGCCACGGGGTTCCGTCCTCAGGGCCAACAAGAGAAAACGACAACAACAGAAACCAAGACCTTTCTAAAGTCACTTATTTTGAGATAGAGCATGAAAACCAAAGCAGGAAGTACTTTGCTCTTGATCACATTTTCACATTTGGTCTGTTGAAGACTTGGCCGAAGCTGCCCCAGCCCCCCTTCCCACCAATGGTCAATGGAACCCCTTCCCTTGCCCAGTGGTAATGGACATGAAAGGGCTCTCTCTGTAAGCAGAGCGCTGTGCGTGTACCGAAGATGGCTAAGGTTCCATCAAAGGATGGGGGTGAGCAAGTGGGAGGGTCCCCTTCCTGTAACTTGTGTCCAAACCGCCACAGGGGTCAGCCCAGCAGGCCCTTGGGCTCGGCACACCACCCAGTGTGGCCACCTGTGGCTCTCTGACTGAAGTCACCATCCTAGGGGACTGGCAGCCACTGGTGGCTCCTTGTAGGGGGTGGAAGGATTAGAGGACCGGGTGCAGGCAGGGGTCAGAGCAGCTGCCACCCAGTCCACGGAGGAGCGTGGAGGGCCCATCCGCATCCCGCCTTCCCCCCCAGCACGTGTCCCCTCCCCACTCACCAGCCGCCACCAGCAGCCCACACAGCAGGGCAAGTCTCATGACGCCAGCTCGGAGCAGCGCAGGCAACTTCCAGAAGCACCCGCATGCAGGCCGGGCAGGGGCACGGGCACTTATACCAGATGCACCCGCCCAGCCTCGCCCCCACCAGTTCCAGCCCCATCTCCAGGGGAAATGACCTCTGCTCCTTCGGCTTCCTCTTTTCTGGGGTTGAGAAATTGTAATTTTTGTTTTTCTCTTTTTTCTGTGCAGCACTGGGAATCAAACCCAGGACCTCACGCACTGTAGGCAAGTGCTTTCCCACGGAGCCTCATCCCAGCCCCACTTTCCCTGTTTAATAAACGAAACATAAATCCAATTTGGAAGATTTAGAATAAATAAACAGCAAGAAATTTGGAATCACCTGCAAATCCATGAAATGTTGATATTTTGGTGTATGTGCTGCTGGCCCGATTATTGTCTGTCTGTCAATCATCTACCTACCCACCCATTATCTATCTTTATAACTCCATACTTTTCCCCAACCAAACTAGGAAAGAGTTACATGTAGTACTTTGTAGTCGGTCCTTTTCACTTACTGATGTGATTTGAGCGTGTCATTTGAGCTACGTTGTTGAATATTCTTTTGCCGTAACATTCTGAGAGCTGGCCTCCAATTCCACTATACAGCTCTACCATTTATTTGATGACTCCCTTATTGATGGACACGTGGACTGTTCCCAATTTTTTACTGTTCTAGTGAAGTGAAAGAACTACCACGCATCTCGGTTCATGCCCAGAATCCTTTCCTGATGTGGACTTGCTGAGTCAAAGCCCGGCACAATTTCAAGACGACTGGGTATTGTCAACGAAGCCCCAGCTTATGTGTGAGAATCTAATGAGACAAATGGTGTGTGGCCCCAGCCCAGCAAGGGCAGGCACGGCTGGCAGGATGCGCTGGGCACTGCACAGGGCCATCAGCCTTGAGAGTTCCAAGGAACTGTAGAAAGTGGTTTTTTGGTGGCCGGGGACGGTTACTCTGTTTTGGACATCATGCCCAGGCCTACCTCCTCGCTGCTGGCTAATCAGTTCACACCAAAAATTGTGCTGGCAACAGTCTCTGCTGGAAGATTCACTGTTTCTCAGGTCCCCTCTCTCTCCTCTCTCCTCTCTCTCTTCTAAATCCGATTTTGTCTTTCCTCCTTAACTCAGTAACCAACTGGCCACCTCATAAATGAGAAAACAACCTACATGCAAAATAATTAAATGGCATGCAAACCAGATGTCTCTGACATATTCTTTTTCAAAAATACACTTCGGGGGGGTATGATTGGCATGCAATTAACAACAAGCATTCAACGTACACAGCTCGATGAGTTTGGGGATGAATGTGCACCTGTGGAGGCATCACCACCAAGAAGACCACGGACATGACCTCACCTCCAAGGCTTCCTCCCATCTGGCATAGTCTTTGGTATGCCTCCCCTGGGCATGCTCAATACTCATTCCTTTCCACTGTCCACGGGGTGCTTTACACTAAAAATAAATAAGTAAAGCTCACCAGGGCAAAAGGCTATGTCTCCCTCCCTGGTACTCTTTGGGCAAAAGCAGAAGTAGCAGAATCCCAGCTCTGCGCTGGTTCCAGGGAACCTTTCCCCACCGAGCAAGAAAACAAATACCGATGCTGCAAAGAGCCTTAAACACTCCACTTCCCGGCACCTCCAGGGCTCCACAGCACTTCCATCAGGATGAGTTCGCAGCCAGAGAGACCTGGTTCAAATGGTGGGCCCTTCTCTTGCCAGCTGTGGGACCCTGGGCAAATCACTTCACCGCCATGGGCCTTGGTTTCCTGATTTGCACAACGGGGCCAGGGGCTCCTCCCTTTTCTGATTGCTGTGAGGTCTCAAGGTACTGGCACAAGGCATACTGCACCCACCTTGCTCCTTGAAAGGTGCCATTAGGCCAACACGACTCTGGGGCTGTCGTTACGTGGAGCTCAGGAGGACCAGGGAGAAGGCCTGGCCTCCCCAACACCCCAGCCGCTTAACATGAAGCAAGTTGTTTAGCTCCATGTTTTCTATCCCTCCCACCCCGTGTAAAATAGGTGGGGACGGTACCCACTCCATAGGACTGCTGTGAGGGTTTATGGAGATGGTATATGCCATGGTTTGGAAATGGTTGGAGGGAGCTGGGTTCCCACTATGACAATGTTAACAGGTAGTGAGACCTTGAAGAGATGGGGCTTAGCAGGAGGTCATTACTGACTCTCCCCATCTCTCTGACTTCCTGTCTGGACATGTGATCTCTCCCCCTTACATGTGCTCCTGCCATGATGCCATTCATTGCAATGTGACACAGTCAAAGAGGACCTCACCAGAGACAGAAGCCATGTGGTTGCCCAATCTAGGTAAGCCTCTAAAATTGTGAGCTTAATAAACCTTTTTTCTTTCTAAGGTATAAGACCTCAGGTATTTTGTTATAGTAGCTGAAACTGGGCTCATACAACACGTGAAAAGGGCTTGGTCCATAGCTGGAGACCAATAAATGTGGTCTGTGGTTACTCCCATCAGCAGCATCAGTATCATCAACCCTTCTTTATCCTCATCATTACTGTTTATCTAAATAGAATAAATAGCTATCCTTTTCTTTTGTGTTGTCTAACCTGCTATTCATCCTATGCCTCATCTCAGCGTGTTTTTTCCCTCTATAAATTTGAGCTGGGTCTTATTTTTATCTTCAATGCTTCTCAATGTATTCACGCTTTCCTTTATCTTCTTAAACATATAGATGTTGTTATAACTTTCAACCTTCCTAGTTCTATCTCTGGGGTCATTTCTGGGTCTTTTCCTATGGTTTGTTGGCTTCTTTAGATTTCCAGAAGTGAATTTGCTGTGGCCCAAGGTGGTGAGATGTTAGACTTCTCCATTCTCTGAAAGTTCACATGGACTTAGAACCTCCTGCTTCTGCGGCAGCTGCAGTATCTCGGATCCTTTCAGACCTGAGTATCTCAAGACTTGCCAGAAACTCTGTGCTTTGGGGTCACTGGTCACAGCTGGAAAAACCCTGCTGACCCTGCTGGACCAGAGTCAGCAACTCTCCAGGTGGGGGTGGAAGGGAGCAGGAGGGAGCTTGGATGCTGGAGAGAAGTCTCTAATATTAACAGTCACCACTGTGCGGGTCTCGCCAGGTGCCAGGCCCTGGGCTGTTACTTTGTTTTGTATCCACAGCCACGTTAGGAAGGAGAGGCAGCTATTCCCCTTCTATAGGTGGGGAAACTGGGGCTCAGGGAGGTTAGAAACTTAGGGTCACAGAGCAGGTACATGGCAGAGCTGGGGTTAGCACAGGTGCCTGCCAGAGGCCACCCTTACTAGGCCACACTTCACATCTGTGGGATGTAATCAGGCACTACCCTCGTCCCTATTTCACAGAAGAGTCTGTATACAGGTGTTCCCCCAGGGTGCTTCCTCACACTCCCAGCCCAGACAGGTGTGGAAGGGAGAGCATCCGGCAGAACCTGCAGGAAGGAGAGGAGCCTCCTCCTCCAGAGATCTCCCATGAGTGACAGCATGATCTTCCAATCAGTGTCCAGAGCCCTCCCCTCCCTGCAAAGACCCTGTTACCAGAACAGACGCCTGCCTGGATCCACCAATGAGGGTGCAGCTCAGAAGCACAGCAACTGTGCAGGAGCAGGGACCTGGACTTCTGGTCCTACCAGGGGGGCGGATGCTAGGGGAGACACTTGAACTTGGCCTTGGTAGGAGGGTGACCACTCTTTCCCTTCTGTACCAGGCAGAAGACCACAGAGACCTCTCAGATGTCTGTCAACCACAGAATGGATGAACCACGGTGATCTGGATGAATCTCATACACATGGCAGGATAGAGGGCGGGCTGTCAGGGATTCCATCTTAATGACGCCCCAAAGTCAGGACAGCGGTTGCCCACAGATATGCATGGTGACTGCAAGGGGTCCTGAGAGGTCTTTGAGGTGCTGCTGATGTTCTGTCTCTGGGTGTTGGTTGCATGGACACGTTCAACTGTGAAAATTCATCTAGTAGCTGGGTCACGGTCTGTGCATTTTCCTGTCTATGTTATCCTTCAGTACATTTCCACCATAACAATGAGGATGATGATAATTAAAAATCACCTGGGCTCAAACCTCAGCAAGGAAGTCCTTCAGTGGGACCTTCCAGATAGGGGGGTGTCCTAGACTGTGAACAGCTGAGGTCACATAGTGAAAGGAAAGCCACCGAAGTGATATCACACAGCTCTGGCTTCAAATTCTAGCTTAGTAAAAGGGTTGCTTGGATCATGTCACTTGATCTCTTGAAGTCCCATTTCCCGTCTGAAAAATGGGGCCCATGGGACCCTGCAGCCTTGTCATGATTATAGGTAGGATGATTGGCACACAATAGAGGGTCAATAAAGGCATGACCCCTGGTGACCCCTCCCTCCAGGAGGAAAGAGGCTGACAGATGGAAGGGACCAGAATGTGGACTTCCCTCTGCGGGCAGGCTGGGAGAGCCTTGTTTCCAAACCTGGGGGATTTCCACGGCAACCTCTCAGTTTACTCAGGGTGATTGAGGAAAGCACCTTCAAACTCCCTTAAAACCCCTCACCAGCAGCTTTGAGATGGCCACTGCCGGAAGGTTCTTGCTTGTTTTCAAGCTAGCCCAGCCCCCACTGCCTTTCCCAGGGCAACAGAGCCTGGCATTCAGAAGGAGGCTTGGGGTCACACAGACCTGCCTTGGATCCTGACCCCCCTCTGTTTCGTCATCGGCTAAATGGGTGGGAGGAATGGGACAATGTCAGCGGCTCGGGCTGCCACAGAGACTCCAAGACAGGACCCAGGGCAAGCGGGGCACTTGGCCGTGTGCCTTGTTTACAGTCAGTGGCCACTAATTGTTGGTGGTGGTGTTATTAGTATTGGTTTAGGGGAGTCGGAGCACACTGCTGGAACATCTCACAGGAGGATATGCAAACACTGCACCATCCTAATAAGGAACCTGAGCACCTTGGATCTTGGTAACTGAGAAGGGGACCTGGAACGACCCTCCACACATCCTGAAGGATGGCTGTATTTAAAACAAACAAGTTGATTTTTTGACATAGGTATACCTCTTTGAAATGGCCGTCACAAGAGAGTGAGCATGTCCAGCACCTCCCAAA